ATCTGTCATTTATGGAGAGCAACTCACATTTTCAACCCTACACCTCTTCCTCCTTCTCGGTATTTCTTTTTCCCTCTTTTTTTCTCTTATTCCTTCCCTGGCCCTCTCATCTTTACTTCATTCCATCTCTATTGTATCTATCACTCTAGTTTTTTTTTTTTTTGACTTTCTTTCTTTCAGATGATTTCTCTTTTTCCTTCTCCTTATTTTTCGTCTCCCATATTTCATTTTCATTTTACATCGGTTTCTGGCATCATTTAATTGTTTTTTTTTCTTTTTGTCTGACTGTGTTATTTTTCTTTTTCACTATTATCAAAATATGTATTTCCTAATTTATGTATTTCAATCTGTTCATATGTATCTATCTAATTCTATTCATAACAGTCTGTCTGTTACAGTCACTTCATATATGTCTACTGTCCATATCCATTTATCTATCTCATTCTTTTCCTATTTATCTATCTGTTGCACTCTGTCCATATCTATTTATCTATCTCATTCTCTTCTTATTTATCTATCTGTTGCAATTTATCTGTCCATATAAATTTATCTATCCTCATCTTCCTATTTACCTATCTTGCACTTGTCCATATCTATTTATTTATCTCATTCTTTTCCTATTTACCTATCTGTTGCACTCTGTCCATATCTATTTATCTATCTCATTCTCTTCTTATTTATCTATCTGTCGCAGTCTGTCCATATCAATTTATCTATCTCATTCTCTTCCTATTTACCTATCTGTTGCACTCTGTCCATATCAATTTATCTATCTCATTCTCTTCCTATTTATCTATCTGTCACACTCTGTCCATATCTATTTATCTATCTCATTCTCTTCCTATTTACCTATCTGTTGCACTCTGTCCATATCAATTTATCTATCTCATTCTCTTCCTATTTATCTATCTGTCACACTCTGTCCATATCTATTTATCTATCTCATTCTCTTCCTATTTACCTATCTGTTGCACTCTGTCCATATCAATTTATCTATCTCATTCTCTTCCTATTTATCTATCTGTTACACTCTGTCCATATCTATTTATCTATCTCATTCTCTTCCTATTTACTCATCTGTTATTTATCAATTTATCTATCTCATTCTCTTCCTATTTATCTATCTGTCACACTCTGTCCATATCAATTTATCTATCTCATTCTCTTCCTATTTATCTATCTGTTACACTCTGTCCATATCTATTTATCTATCTCATTCTCTTCCTATTTACCTATCTGTTGCACTCTGTCCATATCAATTTATCTATCTCATTCTCTTCCTATTTATCTATCTGTTACACTCTGTCCTATTCTCTCTTCCTATATCTATTTATCTATCTCATTCTCTTCCTATTTATCTATCTGTTGCACTCTGTCCTGTCCATCTCATCTATTTACCTATCTGTTTACTCTGTCCATATCAATTTATCTATCTCTTCCTATTTATCTATCTGTTACACTCTGTCCATATCAATTTATCTATCTCATTCTCTTCCTATTTATCTATCTGTCGCACTCTGTCCATATCAATTTATCTATCTCATTCTCTTCCTATTTACCTATCTGTTACACACTCTGTCCATATAATTTATCTATCTCATTCTCTTCCTATTTATCTATCTGTTACACTCTGTCCATATCTATTTTTATCTCATTCTCTTCCTATTTACCTATCTGTTCTTCATATCTATTTATTTCATTCTCTTCCTATTTATCTATCTGTTACACTCTGTCCATATCTATTTATCTATCCATTATCTCTTCCTATTTATCTATCTGTTGCACTCTGTCCATAATTTATTTATCTATCTCATTCTCTTCCTATTTATCCTATCTGTCCATATCTATTTATCTATCTCATTCTCTTCCTATTTATCTATCTGTTATCTGTCCATATCTATTTATCTATCTCATTCTCTTCCTATTTTTATCTTCTGTCCATATCTATCCATCTCATTCTCTTCCTATTTATCTATCTGTTACTCTGTCCATATCAATTTATCTATCTCATTCTCTTCTCATTCTGTCCTTCAATTTATCTATCTCATTTCTCTTCCTATTTATCTATCTGTCGGACTCTGTCCATATCTATTTATCTATCTCATTCTCTTCCTATTTACCTATCTGTTGCACTCTGTCCATATCAATTTATCTATCTCATTCTCTTCCTATTTATCTATCTGTTACACTCTGTCCATATCAATTTATCTATCTCATTCTCTTCCTATTTATCTATCTCTGTCCATATCTATTTATCTATCTCATTCTCTTCCTATTTATCTGTCACACTCTGTCCATATCAATTTATCTATCTCATTCTCTTCCTATTTATCTATCTGTTGCACTCTGTCCATATCTATTTATCTATCTCATTCTCTTCCTATTTATCTATCTGTTGCACTCTGTCCATATCAATTTATCTATCTCATTCTCTTCCTATTTATCTATCTGTTGCACTCTGTCCATATCTATTTATCTATCTCATTCTTTTCCTATTTATCTATCTGTTGCACTCTGTCCATATCAATTTATCTATCTCATTCTCTTCCTATTTATCTATCTGTCACACTCTGTCCATATCAATTTATCTATCTCATTCTCTTCCTATTTATATCTGTCCATATCAATTTATCTATCTCATTCTCTTCCTATTTATCTATCTGTTGCACTCTGTCCATATCTATTTATCTATCTCATTCTTTTCCTATTTATCTATCTGTCGCACTCTGTCCATATCTATTTATCTATCTCATTCTCTTCTTATTTATCTATCTGTCGCAGTCTGTCCATATCAATTTATCTATCTCATTCTCTTCCTATTTACCTATCTGTTGCACTCTGTCCATATCAATTTATCTATCTCATTCTCTTCCTATTTATCTATCTGTTACACTCTGTCCATATCTATTTATCTATCTCATTCTCTTCCTATTTATCTATCTGTTACACTCTGTCCATATCTATTTATCTATCTCATTCTCTTCCTATTTACCTATCTGTTGCACTCTGTCCATATCTATTTATCTATCTCATTCTCTTCCTATTTATCTATCTGTTACCTCTGTTATCATTTATCTATCTCATTCTCTCCCTATTTACCTATCTGTTGCACTCTGTCCATATCTATTTATCTATCTCATTCTCTTCCTATTTTATCTATCTGTCTATCTGTCCATATCAATTTATCTATCTCATTCTCTTCCTATTTATCTATCTGTTACACTCTGTCCATATCTATTTATCTATCTCATTCTCTTCCTATTTACCTATCTGTTGCACTCTGTCCATATCTATTTATCTATCTCATTCTCTTCCTATTTATCTATCTGTTACACTCTGTCCATATCTATTTATCTATCTCATTCTCTTCCTATTTATCCTGTTATCTGTCCATATCTATTTATCTATCTCATTCTTTTCCTATTTATCTATCTGTCACACTCTGTCCATATCTATTTATTATCTCATTCTCTCATTCTCTTCTATTTATTTACCTATCTTTCACTCTGTCCATATCAATTTATCTATCTCATTTTCTTCCTATTTATCTATCTGTTACACTCTGTCCATATCTATTTATCTATCTCTCATTCTCTTCCTATTTATCTATCTGTTACCTCTGTGCATATCAATTTATCTATTCTCTTCTATTTTCCTATTTATCTATCTGTCATTTATCTATCTCATTTCTATCTATTTATCTATCTATCTACTCTGTCCATATCTATTTATCTATCTCATTCTCTCCCTATTTACCTATCTGTTGCACTCTGTCCATATCTATTTATCTATCTCATTCTCTTCCTATTTATCTATCTGTTACACTCTGTCCATATCTATTTATCTATCTCATTCTCTTCCTATTTACCTATATATCCTGTTTCTCTGTCCTATTTATCTATCTCATTCTCTTCCTATTTATCTACACTCTGTCCATATCTATTTATCTATCATTCTCTCACCTATCTATTTCTCTGTCCATATCTATTTATCTATCTCATTCTCTTCCTATTTATCTATCTGTTACACTCTGTCCATATCAATTTATCTATCTCATTCTCTTCCTATTTACCTATCTGTTGCACTCTGTCCATATCAATTTATCTATCTCATTCTCTTCCTATTTATCTATCTGTTGCACTCTGTCCATATAAATTTATCTATCTCATTCTCTTCCTATTTACCTATCTGTTGCACTCTGTCCATATCTATTTATCTATCTCATTCTCTTCCTATTTATCTATCTGTTACACTCTGTCCATATCAATTTATCTATCTATTTCTCTTCCTATTTACCTATCTGTTCTCTGTCCATATCAATTTATCTATCTCATTCTCTTCCTATTTACCTATCTGTCACACTCTGTCCATATCTATTTATCTATCTCATTCTCTTCCTATTTATCTATCTATTTGCACTCTGTCCATATCAATTTTATCTTTCATTCTCTTCTATTTATCTATCTGTTCACTCTGTCCATATCTATTTATCTATCTCATTCTCTTTATTTCTATCTGTCCATATCAATTCATCTATCGATCTTTTCCTATTTATCTATCTGTCTGTCCATATCAATTTATCTATCTCATTCTCTTCCTATTTATCTATCTGTTACACTCTGTCCATATTATTTATCTATCTCATTCTCTTCCCTATTTTCTATCTGTTACTCTGTCCCTCATTCTCTTCCTATTTATCTATCTGTTACACTCTGTCTATTTTATCTATCTCATTCTCTTCCTATTTATCTATTTTCTGTCCATATCTATTTATCTCATTCTCTTCCTATTTATCTATCTATTTTTACACTCTGTCCATATCTATTTATCTATCTCATTCTCTTCTATTTATCTATCTGTTGCACTCTGTCCATATCTATTTATCTATCTCATTCTCTTCCTATTTACCTATCTGTTCTGTCCATATCAATTTTTACCTATCTATTTGTCTGTCACACTCTGTCCATATCTATTTATCTATCTCATTCTCTTCCTATTTATCTATCTATCTGTCCATATCAATTTATCTATCTCATTCTCTTCCTATTTATCTATCTGTCCATATCAATTTATCTATCTCATTTTTCTCTTCCTATTTACCTATCTTTGCCTCTGTCCATATTCAATTATCTATCTCATTCTCTTCTATTTTCTATCTGTTGCCTCATTTATCTATCTCATTCTCTTCCTATTTATCTATCTGTTTGCACTCTGTCCATATCAATTTATCTATCTCATTCTCTTCCTATTTACCTGCATCTATCTCTGTCTATTTTCCTCTATCTTTCTGTCCTATTTACCTATCTATTGCACTCTGTCTATCAATTTATCTATCTCATTCTCCTATTTATCTATCTGTCACACTCTGTCCATATCAATTTATCTTCTCATTCTCTTCCTATTTATCTATCTGTTGCACTCTGTATTTATCCATCTGTCCTCTGTCCAATCAATTTTTATCTATTCTCTTCCTCATCTTCTCTGTCCATATATTTACCTATTCTCTTCTATTTATCTATCACCTCTGTCCATATCTCATTTCTTCCCTATTTACCTATCAATTTATCTATCTCATTCTCTTCCTATTTATCTATCTTCACTCTGTCCATATCAATTTATCTATCTCATTCTCTCCTATCTATCTGTTGCACTCTGTCCATATCCTATCTCATTCTCTTCCTATTTACCTATCTGTCACACTCTGTCCATATCAATTTATCTATCTCATTTCTCTTCCTATTTATCTATCTGTTCTCTGTCCATATTTATTTATCTATCTCATCTCTTGCCTATTGTCCTATCTGTCACACTCTGTCCATATCAATTTTCATATCTCATTCTCTTCCTATTTATCTATCTGTTTGCACTCTGTCCATATCAATTTATCTATCTCATTCTCTTCCTATTTATCTATCTGTCACACTCTGTCCATATCTGTCCATTCTCTTCCTATTTATCTATCTCTCTGTCCAATTTTCTCATTCTCTTCCTATTTACCTATCTGTTGCTCTGTCCATATCAATTTATCTATCTCATTTCTTCCTATTTATTTATCTGTTACACTCTGTCCATATCTATTTATCTATCTCATTCTCTTCCTATTTACCTATCTGCACTCTGTCCATATCTATCTCTCTCATTCTCTCCTATTTACCTATCTTCACACTCTGTCCATATCAATTTATCTATCTCATTCTCCCTATTTACCTATCTGTTGCACTCTGTCCATATCTATTTATCTATCTCATTCTCTTCCTATTTATCTATCTATTCATTGTCCATATCTATTTATCTATCTCATTCTCTTCCCTATTTACCTATCTGCACTCTGTCCATATCAATTTATCTATCTCATTCTCTTCCTATTTATCTATCTGTCCATTTATCTATCTCATTCTCTTCCCTATTTATCTATCTGTCCATATCAATTTATCTGTCTCATTCTCTTCCTATTTATCTATCTGTCGCAGTCTGTCCATATCAATTTATCTATCTCATTCTTCCTATTTACCTATCTGTTTTCTGTCTGTATCTATTTATCTATCTCATTCTCTTCTATTTATCTATCTGTCCACTCTGTCCATATCAATTTCTATCTCATTCTCTTCCTATTTCCTATCTGTTCTGTCCATATCAATTTATCTATCTCATTCTCTTCCTATTTATCTATCTGTTACACTCTGTCCATATCTATTTATCTATCTCATTCTCTTCCTATCTGTTGCACTCTGTCCATATCTATTTATCTATCTCATTTTCTCTTCCTATTTATCTATCTGTTGCACTCTGTCCATATCTATTTATCTATCTCATTCTCTTCCTATTTATCTATCTGTTGCACTCTGTCCATATCTATTTTTATCTCATTCTCTTCCTATTTACCTATCTATTTTGCACTCTGTCCATATCAATTTATCTATCTATTTCTTCCCTATTTATCTATCTGTTGCACTCTGTCCATATCTATTTATCTATCTCATTCTCTTCCTATTTATCTATCTGTTGCACTCTGTCCATATCTATTTATCTATCCATTCTCTTCTGTATTTATATTATCCATATCTCTATTCATTCTCTTCCTATTTACCTATCTGTATTTCATCTGTCTCTGTCCATATCAATTTATCTATCTCATTCTCTTCTATTTAGTCTGTCCTATCAATTTATCTCATTCTCTTCCCATCTATCTGTTGCACCTGTCCCTATTTATCTATCTCATTCTGTTCCTATTTATCCATCTGTTGCACTCTGTCCATATCTATTTATCTATCTCATTCTCTTTATTTACCTATCTGTCCATATCTATTTATCTATCTCATTCTCTTCCTATTTATCTCCATATCCATATCTATTTATCTATCTCATTCTCTTCTTTTCTATCTTCTGTCCTATCAATTTTTATCTCATCTATTTGTTATCTGTCACATTCTGTCCATATCAATTTATCTATCTCATTCTCTTCCTATTTATTATCTGTTCATCTGTCCATATCTATTTTATCTCATTCATTCTCTCCTATTTATCTATCTGTCGTCCCTGTCCATATCTATTTCTATCTCATTCTCTTCCTATTTATCTTCTCTTCCTGTCCATATCAATTTATCTATCTCATTCTCTTCCTATTTATCTATCTCTGTCCATATCTATTTATCTATCTCATTCTCTTTCTATCTGTTGCACTCTGTCCATATCTATTTATCTATCTCATTCTCTTCTCATTTATCTATCTGTTACACTCTGTCCATATCTATTTATCTTTCTCATTCTCTTCCTATTTACCCTATCTGTTGCACTCTGTCCATATCAATTTATCTATCTCATTCTCTTCCTATTTATCTATCTATCTGTCCATATTCATTTATCTATCTCATTCTGTCCTTTTCTATCACTCTGTCCATATCAATTTATCTATCTCATTTCTTCTCATTCTCTTCCATATCAATTTATCTATCTCATTCTCTTCCTATTTATCTATCTCACTCTGTCCTATTTATCTAATTCCATCTATTTATCTATCATTCTCTTCCTATTTATCTATCTGTTGCACTCTGTCCTATTTATAATTTATCTATCTGTTCGCTCTCTGTCCATATCAATTTATCTATCTCATTCTATTTATTCTCTTCCATTCTCTTTTATTTATCTATCTATTTCTGTCCATATCTATTTGTCTATCTCATTCTCTTCCTATTTATCTATCTCATTGTCCATTCCTATTTATCTATCTCATTCTCTTCTATTTCTATCTTGCATTTCTCTGTCCATATTTCCATCTCATTTTATTCTGTTATCTATCTATTCTATCTCATTTGTCTTTTATTCTATCTGTTGCATTTTTTCTATTTATCTCATTCTCTTCCTATTTATCTTCCTCTTCCTCATTTCTCTTGCACTCTGTCCATATCTATTTATCTATCTCATTCTCTTCCTATTTATCTATCTGTCTGTCCATTTATCTATCTCATTCTCTTCCATTTATCTATTATTTATCTATCTCATCTCATTTCTCTTCCTATTTACCTATCTGTTTGCACTCTGTCCCATATCTATTTATCTATCTCATTCTCTTCCTATTTATCTATCTGTTACACTCTGTCCTATCTATTTATCTATCTCATTCTCTTCCTATTTATCTATCTGTCACCTCTGTCCATATCTATTTATCTATCTCATTTTCTCCTATTTATCTGTTATCTCATTCCATTTATCTATCTCATTTATTTTCATCTGTCTGTCCATATCTTTTATCATCTCATTTCTGTCCTATTTATCTATCTGTTCACTCTGTCATATCTATTTATCTATCTATTCTTTTCTATTTATCTTCCATTCTCTGTCCATATGTCCATATCTATTTATCTATCTCATTCTCTTCCTATTTATCTATCTGTTACTCTGTCCATATCTATTTATCTTATCTCATTCTCTTCCTATTTATCTCTGTCTGTCCATATCAATTTATCTATCTCATTCTCTTCCTATTTACCTATCTGTTACCTCTGTCCATATCTATTTATCTATCTCATTCTCTTCCTTCCTATTTATCTATCTATTTTTTCATATTCTATCTATCTGTTGGACTCTGTCCATATCTATTTATCTATCTCATTCTCTTCCTATTTACCTCTCTATTTATTACTCTGTCCATATTTATTTATCTATCTCATTCTCTTCCTATTTATCTATCTGTTCTCTGTCCATATCTATTTATCTATCTCATTTCTTCCTATTTATCCTATCTGTTACCTCTGTCATATCAATTTATCTATCTCATTCTCTTCCTATTTATCTATTTCCTCTGTCCATATCAATTTATCTATCTCATTCTCTTCCTATTTATCTATCTGTTTACACTCTGTCCATATCTCTCATTCTCTTCCTATTTCTATCTGTTCTCTCATATCCAATTTTTATCTCATTCTATCTATCTCTGTCCATATCTATTTATCTATCTCATTTCTTCCTATTTATCTATCTGTTACACTCTGTCCCATTTATCTATCTCATTCTCTTTATTTACCTATATCTTGCACTCTGTCCATATCAATTTATCTATCTCATTCTCTTCCTATTTATCTATCTGTTCACTCTGTCCATATCAATTTATCTATCTCATTCTTCCTTCTACCTATTATTATCTTATCATTCTCTTCTATTTATCAATTTATCTCATTCTCTTCCTATTTACCTATCTGTTGCACTCTGTCCATATCAATTTTCTATCTCATTCTCTTCCTATTTATCTATTTCCTCTGTCCATATCAATTTATTATCTCATTCTCTCCCTATTTATCTATCTGTTGCACTCTGTCCATATCAATTTATCTATCTCATTCTCTTCCTATTTACCTATCTGTTGCCTCTGTCCATATCAATTTATCTATCTCATTCTCTTCCTATTTATCTATCTGTTACACTCTGTCCATATCAATTTATCTATCTCATTCTCTTCATATCAATTTATCTATCTCATTCTCTTCCTATTTATCTATCTGTCACACTCTGTCCATATCAATTTATCTATCTCATTCTCTTCCTATTTATCCTATCTGTTTATCTATTTATCTATCTCATTTCTCTTCCTATTTATCTATTCTCTGTCCATATCAATTTATCTATCTCATTCTCTTCCTATTTACCTATCTATTTCACTCAATTGTCCATATCTATTTATCTATCTCATTCTCTTCCTATTTTATCTATCTGTCGCACTCTGTCTTATCAATTTATCTATCTCATTCTCTTCCTATTTTATCTATCTGTTGCACTCTGTCCATATCAATTTTCTATCTCATTCTCTTCCCTATTTACCTATCTTCTCTGTCCATATCAATTTATTATCTCATTTCTCTTCTATTTATTGCACTCTGTCCATATCAATTTATCTCATTCTCTTCCTATCTATCTGTTCTCTGTCCTATCTATTTATCTATCTCATTCTCTTCTATTTACCTATCTGTTGCACTCTGTCATATCAATTTATCTATCTCATTCTCTTCCTATTTATCTATCTGTTCCTGTCCATATCTATTTATCTATCTCATTCTCTTCCTATTTACTCTGTCCATATCTGTCATTTATCTATCTCTGTCATTCTCTCTCATTCTCTTCCTATTTATCTATCTGTCTTCCTATTTACCTATCTGTTACCTGTCCATATCAATTTATCTATCTCATTCTCTTCCTATTTACCTATCTGTTGCACTCTGTCATATCAATTATCTATCTCATTCTCTTCCTATTTATTTATCTATCTCATTTCTCTTCCTATTTATTTCTATCTGTTGCCTCTGTCTTATCAATTTATCTGTCTCATTTCTCTATTTATCTATCTCATTCTCTTCCTATTTATTTCTATCACACTCTGTCCATATCATTTATCTATCTATCTCATTTCTCTTCCTATTTACCTATCTATCTTGTCCACTCTCAATTTATCATTGCTATATCTCATTCTCTTCTCTATCTCTCCTCTGTCCTATCATTTATCTATCTCATTCTCTTCTATTTACCTATCTGTTCACCTCTGTCCATATCAATTTATCTATCTCATTCTCTTCCATATCTATTTATCTATCTCATTCTCTTCCTATTTACCTATCTATTTACACTCTGTCCATATCAATTTATCTATCTCATTTCTCTTCTCTTCTGTTGTCACTCTGTCCATATCTATTTACCTCATTCTCTTCCTATTTACCTACTCTGTCCATATCAATTTATCTATCTCATTTCTCTCCCTATTTATCTATCTGTTGCACTCTGTCATATCAATTTTCTATCTATTCTCTTCCTCATTCTCTTCCCTTTATTTATCTTCTCATTTCTCTTCCTATTTATCTATCTGTTGCCTCTGTCCATCTGTATCATATCAATTTATTATCTATCTCTCTCTTCCTCTATTTATTTCTATCCTATCTGTTCATTCTCTTCTATTTATCTACTCTGTCCATATCAATTTATCTATCTCATTCTCTTCCTATTTTACCTATCTTTGCCTCTGTCCATATCAATTTATCTATCTCCATCTCTGTCCATATAAATTTATCTATCTCATTCTCTTCCTATTTACCTATCTGTACACTTGTCCATATCTATTTATCTATCTCATTTCTTCCTATTTACCAATTTATCCTATTCATTTATCTATCTCATTCTCTTCCTATTTATCTATCTGTTGCACTCTGTCCATATAAATTTATCTATCTCATTCTCTTCCTATTTATCTATCTATTTGCACTCTGTTCTTTATCAATTTATCTATCTCATTCTCTTCCTATTTACCTATCTGTTGCACTCTGTCCATATCAATTTATCTATCTCATTCTCTTCCTATTTTTATCTCTCTGTTATAAATTTATCTGTCATTCTCTTCCTATTTACCTATTTCTCTGTCCATATCTATTTATCTATCTCATTCTCTTCCTATTTACCTATCATCACACTCTGTCCATATCAATTTATCTATCTCATTCTCTTCCTATTTATTATCTATTCCACTCTGTCCATATCAATTTATCTATCTCATTCTCTTCCTATTTACCTATCTGTCTGTCCATCTCTGTCCATTCTATCCTATTTATCTATCTCACACTCTGTCCTATCTATCTCCTTCTCTTCTATTTACCTATCTGTTGCCTCTGTCCATATCAATTTATCTATCTCATTCTCTTCTCTGTTATTTATCTATATCTTCCTATCTCACACTGTCATATCAATTTTATCTCATTCTCTTCCTATTTACCTATCTGTTGCACTCTGTCATATCAATTTGTCTATCTCATTATCTTCCTATTTATCTCTGTTCTCTGTCCCAATTTATCTATCTCATCTATTTCTTCCTATCTGTTGCACTCTGTCCATATCTATTTATCTATCTATTCTCTTCCTATTTATCTATCTATCCTCAATTTATCTATCTCTCTTCCTATTTATCTATCTATTGTCCTATTTATCAATTTATCTATCTCTGTCCATATCAATTTATCTATCTCATTCTCTTCCTATTTATCTATCTCTCAGCATCTGTCTATCTATTTATCTATCATTCATTCTTCTATCTATCCATATCAATTTTTATCTATCTATCTTCTCTGTCCTATTTATCTATCTCATTCTCTTCCTATCTGTCTCTGTCCATATTTATTTATCTATCTCCTATTTCTCTTCTATTTATCTTATCTATCTCATTCTCTTCTATCTATCTATCTATTTCTCTGTCCATATCTATTTATCTATCTCATTCTCTTCCCTATTTACCTATCTGTTCCTCTGTCCATATCTATTTATCTATCTCATTCTCTTCCTATTTATCATCTTTCTCTGTCCATATCTATTTATCTATCTCATTCTCTTCTATTTATCTATCTATTTCACTCTGTCCATATCAAATTTATCTATCTCATTTATTTCAGCATCTTCTGACTGTCCTATATCTCTTATTTTCTCTCTGTACACTCTGTCTATTTATCTATCTATTTCTCTTCCTATTTACCTATCTGTTCTGTCCATATCAATTTATCTATCTCATTCTCTTCCTATTTATCTATCTGTCCTCTGTCCATATCTATTTATCTATCTCATTCTCTTCCTATTTACCTATCTGTCACACTCTGTCCCTATCAATTTATCTATCTCATTCTCTTCCTATTTACCTATCTGTTGCCTCTGTCCATATCAATTTATCTATCTCATTCTCTTCCTATTTACCTATCTATTTATCTCTGTCCATATCAATTTATCTATCTCATTCTCTTCTATTTATCTATCATTCTCTTTCAAATCTATTTATCTATCTCATTTCTTCCTATTTATCTATCTGTTCTGTCTATTTATCATCTGATTCTCTTTATTTACCTATCTGTTCATTCTCAATTTATATTTTCATTCTCTTATTTTCCTATCTTTCCATATCTATTTATCTATCTCATTCTCATGTTCATTTTCGGTCTCCCTATCTTCTTACCTATCTTTAACTCATTTTCTTCCTATTCTCTTCTGTTTTTCTTTGTCCATATCTATTTATCTATTTTCCTATTTATCTTAAAACTCTATTCATATTTTATTTACCTATCTCCTTGTTTTCTAATTTAATTACTTTGTCTAACATGTAATTTCTATCTTTCTAGGTAACTTGCTGTTCATACACTTGGTCTCTAAGAGGACAATATGAAAAAATTGAAAAGAGAAAATGAAATACTAATAACACAAGTGTAAATAATAAACAAAGATACAAACTATTAAAAACAAAGAACGAAATAGATTTTTCATTTGTTATTTTCTAAAAAAACTATAATCACTGAGAATTGTTATTTAATTCTAAATTTTGTGGGTATTAAGTTTGATAATGAAATTGTTTTCAACTTTGTTATGGCTTTTCTGGGAATTAAAGGAAGACACAAGAAAGATGAACCTAACATCATCCATACTAAGATTAGATAAATTGAAATGTTATGATATAGTAGAGTTATAAAAATTGACTGTGTTGAATTGAAGATAAAATTCAGAGCCAGTTTTACCAACATACTTGTAAAGCAAACAGGTTCAATCTGTCACAAGTAAGATGAGAGAGGTATACAGTATTTACATTAGTCGGACTATTGTCCTCATCTTTGTCGCCATATTTGTCACAACGTTTCGGCCGTTGTACGCTCTGGCCTTCTTCTAGGTGGTTGGAATTTCGAACTGAACAACGGTCGAAACGTTGTGGCAAATATGGCAACAAAGATGAGGACTTATGTTAACTAATCAAAAATACTATTACATAATCTCATCTCAGAAATATAGACAGACTCGAGAGAGGTATAGTGTTTAACTTCTATATCTGAAGGTAGAAGAAAAGATGAAACATAAACTCCAAGAAGACAGAAAGTATGGTTATTAGTAAAAGGATGAGCCCAAAATACAAATTAAAAATCAGAGGTACCAAAATCAACCAAGTACAACAATTCAAATATCTGGGAAGGATTCTAACAGAAGATGGAAAAATGCAACATTGAAATCCTAAGATGCATTGGGATAGCCAAAGATGCTTTCCAAAAGCTAAGCAGATTATTAAGAGATAGAAAAACTTTATTAGAAACAAAGAGTATTCATGTATGTTGGCTTGGGAAAGGAGTATTTCTTTTAGGAAAGGAGAGTATTTGAAAATATCTATGGTGCAGAATTATGTTTTGTTTCGATTAAATAGTGAAACATTCAATAATTTGACATCTAAGTAAGATACTTTCTCTGTGGCCTGAATGTATGTCTAATGTATTTGATAAATTGTTGTGTATAAGATACCTTTTGTGAGTGCTGGACAATTGCCTCAAAGATGAAGAAGAGACTTGAAGCAATAGAAATGTGGTTCTATCAAAGATGATGAGTACACGATGGACCAAACATATGAGCAAGAAAATTGAAACAAAAACAAAACTTGGATGGTGGAAGAGAGTTTAAAAATAAAGGATAGACAGAATTTAGTTAGAGCAACAGGAGATTGGAAATTGTGGAGATTCATGATCACCTACGTCCACATAATGATGTGCTTACAAATTTGGCTTTGTGATTTATTGCCTAGGAGAGTATTTTGTCATTTCATTTTCAACGATGTGAGTAGTGATATTAAATTAGGTGGTTGTCATCTTGCATTAAGTGGAGGTTCTTGAATGTGTTATTAATTAGGAGTTCTAGTTTAAGATTTAGGAAGTCTCTTTGGAGCAAATGACACAATTTGTTTATATTAGGAATAAAATAAGATACTGTAACTATTCATGAGCTATGTTTTTGTTTCTGTTGACTAAAAGACTATTTCTAGTTTGTGAAGAAGCTTTTTTTTTATATTTTTTAATTATTTTTAAGGGGTAGTTTATATTACAAAACTGATTCTATAAGTATTTTGTAGTCCTTAAGATTACTATCAATATGTATATAGAAAAAGAGATAAGAATAGACTGCATCTGGAAAATAGCTTGCAAGCTAAAAATTAAGAGACTGGGGCAAATACTGAAGTATTTATATAGCTAGAGATATATAACTTTTGAAAAGAATGACACAAAAATACTGAAATATTTTTCTCAGTCCTCTCCCTCTCTCTCTCTCTCTCTATATATATATATATATAATACGTAAAATGGTTAATGATCAGAATTGAATCAGATCAGGAAACAGCAGTATTAAAAAGTGCTCAATACACATGTGAAAAAATAAAATAAAGAACAAAAATAACATGTAGAGATTTTAACTTTAATTTAAGATGGTTTGTGAAAGCATGAACTTAAAAGTATATATATATATATATATATATATATATATATAATAGATGGCCACTCGTATTCGAGGATACCAGTCTACTAGGGTGGCTAGCCAATCTTGACTGCAGACACTTGCTCAGGCACATTTGTGTTTATTCAACACCCACAGAGCCCACCTGTGATTTATACTGCAACTATGCTGATCAGACCTTAGTTACAATTTCTGGGAAAGAGTATGTTATCTAGTGTGATCAACAACTTGAACAATGCCAGCACACTCAAGCCCATGCCCAAGATGACTTGTGACTTCATGCTAGCACAGCTATTGAGGACACCCAAGGGTTCTGTCTACCTAATTTCACTCATAAGGCTTGTGTCAACCTGTGGTATGGTTTTTAGGCATTTTCCAAAATATATATACAGACACACATTTTATATATAAAATAACATTAACAGCCTGTTTTATGCTTAGTGATTTTTTCATATATATATATATATATATATATATATATATATATAGATAGATAGATAGATAGATAGGGACAGACTGAGATAATGAAGAGTAAGATATATATGAAAGAAACTGAAATAAGAAAATACTGAATATATATAATGACATAGACATACACAGATATGAATAGCCTGAGGCAAAAAGAACTAATCTCTCTCACATATCTATCTATCTATCTATCTATCTATCTATCTATCTATCTATCTATCTATCTATCTATATATATATATATATAAAACAAACTGATACAGGAAAATTTTTTGATATATAGGTTGTTTAGTTGAATGAGAAAAGCATTGCTAGGTAAAAATCGAAAAGCATAGCCATAATTCTGTTATATATTAATAAACAAAAATAAATAAAATTAAAAAAACAACCTCTAAAATCTCCTGTAGCATTAAGTTTTGTACTTGGAAGTGTTTCCATCTCCAGTCAATAAGTCTCTGAATGAATTTTATGAATAGAATTGATGAGGTACTAGACCAGAATCTTTGTAATGCTAAAAGCTTTGATGGTAACTAATTCACCAAAATTGTTGCTACAGCTGACAGCTCCTTGAATATGCTTTCAATTCAGATAATGACTGAGGATATTCAAGAGGCCCTGAGAAAATAAGCGGGGATTTTGATTTGTTTTTTGGGGAGGTTTTATGGTGTCAAGAATTTTACTATCTTGGGTCAGACCTATAATAAGACTACATGAAAAAGGACCAAACATGATAACTCTAAGTTAAAAATGGAAAAATATTTACAGATCTTATATTTCTTCTCAGCGTCTAACAATCTCACTGATTTGCATCAAGATTTTTTTTATACATAAACCCAGCAATAAGTTAGTAAAAAAAATGTATTTGTCTTACATAACACTTATTTTTCGACATAACCCCCTTCTTTTTCAAATAACCTACACGTTATCTACCATATTGCTGTAATTGTCTTGCCATGCTGACTAATTTTTTTTACACTATTTACATTATTCGAACTACTGTCCTCATCTTTGTCGCCATATTTATTACAACATTTCAGCCTTTCTGTATCTGTCTATATTTCTCAGATGAGGTATTATGTACACTATTTACATTATTCCTACTATTGTCCTCATCTTTGTCGCCATATTTATTACAACATTTCAGCCTTTCAGTATCTGTCTATATTTCTAAGATGAGGTATTATTTACACTATTTCAGTGTATCTGTCTATATTTCTAAGATGAGGTATTATGTACACTATTTACATTATTCGGACTATTGTCCTCATCTTTGTCACCATATTTATTACAACATTTCGGCCTTTCAGTATCTGTCTATAATTCTAAGATGAGGTACTATTTACATTATTTGGACTATTGCCCTCATCTTTGTTGCCATGTTTATCACAACGTTTCAGCCATTGTATGCTCTTGGCATTCTTCAGGTGGCTGGAATGTCAAACTGAACCCTTTATTTCGCTCACTGGGTGAGACTGTTCTAGTTACATGTACCATGTCTAATGGATGTCAGTTATCTCCTGCTAATTCCCCTCTGAAAGTTCTCCACTGCCTTAACCGGGTATTGAACTCACACTCTTTGGGTCCTGTTACTGGATTTAACTAATGCCTTTATCCACCCATGTGTCCTTGAGGACATCTGTATATGAATTTCTGGGTATTATAAACCTAATGTCTTCAGCAACCATTTTTACCAGTGTTCATATTGCAATTTTTGAAGAAGGCTGGAGCGTACAATGGCCAAAACGTTGTAATAAATATGGCAGCAAAGACGTGGACAATAGTCCGAAAAATGTAAATAGTGTACATAGTACCTCATTTTAGGAATATAGACAGATAACTTTTTTTAGTTTTGTGAGTTTAATCGTTACTGAGTGTCACAACTTCTGTTGCCTAAATCAAGCTTTGTAAATAACTATTAGTTTGGATCATAACTTATTTGTTTCTGGGAAATAAATGGAAGGATAAATCTATCATTGTTATAGTTGCTTATGGTTGCATGAGAGAACAACAAAACAATAAAGTACTTCTGATAAAGCAGAAAGAAAAGAAGGATTTTTTAATATAAATTTCTGGGTAATGCCAATATAGAATGGAAGTGAAATGTCTTTGCAGGTGATGGAAGTGACCTGGAGGATGGGGAGAGTTAGTAGGTCCTAGTACTGATTCTTGTGTCAGGTTGGTTGACTGAGGTCTCTGGAGGTGGTAAAAGCTGGCTTGATTATCTGTAACTGATCTTTAGTGTTATGCATGGCATCCTTTTAAGTACACAAGGTGGATACATGACAATTTTTGCCATGCTTTTGCTCTAACAGCAACATTTGTGATTGTCACCTTTTAATTTGTATTTTATATTTTTGGAGGGATTGGTTTTGCAAGCTGAATAGGATGCTTGAAGCCCCTGCACAAAGTGTGACTTTTTAATCATTTCACCCCAAGCAAGGCAATAAAGCCACTAAGACACAAGGGGTTACTGAGTATGAAAGAATGAGAAAAAGAAAACACTATTAAGGAGAGAGAACAATAAAAGAAGAGGAATCAAGAAAACAGTAGATAATGGCTGACATTGCATTTAAATTTTTGAAGATCAAGGTTGGCTGGAAAGCAAGAAGCTGTAAGAAAGTTCCACAAACGAGAAGTGCAAGAAAAGAAATTGTTAGCATTGAACTTCTGGTTACATTTATCCAATTCAACTATAAAATGATGAGACTTTGACACTCTGCACTTAAGTTCATAAAGTCTGGTACGATAGAGCAAAATTACCATGAAAGTATTTATAGAAAAGGTTCAGGGAAGCTACATTATGGTGGTGTGAAAGTGACTGAAAATAAGATGCCAGCTCAAGATCACTAATATTGCAGATTATTCTTTGGAATTTATCAAGAATCTCTAAATATATAACAGAAGCATCAGAGCAGATGTGGCAGCAATATTCAATGTATGAAGGAATGGTTTAAATGTCATGAGTTAACAAACAACTAACATATATACTTGAGTATAAGTTGATCTGAATATAAGGTGATATCTCTTTTTTATCTCCAGAAAAACTGTCATATATCCAAACCCTATGTTGAAACCACAGAAGCTAATCAACATGTTTAGTTGGTGTGGTTCTGTAAATTTCTAAAAGTGGAGAATATTTTTATAAAGTTTGAATTCTTTGATTTCTTTAATGTTTTTAAGCGTCATTTAGAGCAGGGGTTTTCAAACTGTGATCTGCGGACCACAGGGGTCCTCAAGGACAAGATAGGGGGTCTGTGGACAGCAAACACTTTTTTATGGGTGACATGCAACTTATAAGTAACTTATAGCAGGATCATGAAATAAATTGATTCAATAAACTATTTCCTAGATTTGATATACTAATATAATTTGTATTTTATTGTAAATTGATAAAGATAATGAATTCTTTTAATGCAGAGAAGGAACCAAAGGATTTGAATTTTTGATCTATTTTGCGATTTCCGGCTTTCTCATTGGCTGTTAGGCGTTTGCATTAATGCAAAATTATATGTTATATTCAGCAAATATTTATGTATAAAATTTCATAAGCATTTATAAGGGGGTCCCTAAGGTAAAGCCTGAAATATAAAGGGGTCCACAAGACAAAAAGTTTGAAAACCCCTGATTTAGAGAATTGTTTTTGTTGAAAAAAACTCCATTATATGATGATTTTTTTTCTTTTTACCATTTCATCTGTTTTATAAAGTTCCTTGAACTCTTCCTTTCCAATTTTCCATTTCAATGATAATGTTCGGTCTGACTGGCGCTTTATCAACAATCTTAATTTATTTAAACAATAAACAATAATTGACACACCAACACATGGTGCCTGTTTAATTAGTGAGGTTGTTGACCACCTCACTAGGAACAACGTCTTGAGTGACAAACAGTATGGGTTTCGATCAGCCCCGTTCACTGCTAATATTCTATCTGTAATTACCACAGAATCAATGAGGCACTAGACAATAAATAAATCTCAAGGATGATTGCATTACATATTTCACGGAGAGAGAGAGAGAGTGAGAAATAGATATACAAAAACTGTAGCATTTGGTAGATTCCATGTCACATGAAGTAGCTGCTATTATTCAGGTGAAGGTTAGAGCTACATGTTATTAAGTAACTGTAATTTTTTGGTACTTCAGTTTATATAAATATATATATGTATGTTAACTATATAGAATCTCTATAGAATATAGGGTCATAATCTCACCACACTAGGTGTTACTGTTGTGGTTACTGCACCAAATAGTTCTTTGTTTTATAAGGTGGCATTGCCATCACTATGCCCAACTTGTTTTGTATTCACAGTTGTTTTTCTCTTAGACTTGTTGCCAACCAAGGTTAATACAGTCTTTTCTGCTATTAACCCCAAAGCTAAGACATTTGTTGGAAATTAACTGCAATGGCTTCACGTGGAATTTGGACTCAACAGGTCAATTCCAATTTCTGTACTGATAACTTCTCCTATATATATATATATATATATATATATATATATATATATACACACACACAGACACATATACATACATACATACATAGTCGACTCTCCCGTCGAGATTCGACGTATGAGGGTCAAGCAGATCAGTTTGCAGGAAACCGACAGCCCGACACCGGCACATAAGATTTGATTATAGTGCTGAAGGCCTCGTGCAGGACCATCCACACTTTTTGAAGGGACGAATACAGAGACCCGGTGCACCGAATGCCACAGGGTCCCCAAACGACCCTCCGCAGGTTTTGAATTCAGAGTTGTCCTTCTCCTAGACCAATTGCCATCCAAGGCTATAGAACCCAGTCTGTCCTGCTATTTAACCCATAGCTGGAGGGAGAGAAAGAGGATTCATACCTTTCCCAAAGGTATTAGTGTGTAAGTAAATGTAATACATACATACACACACACATATATATATATATATATATATATATATATATATATATATATATATATAAAAACAAATTTCTCTTCAATATAAGATAATTTTTAAGACAGGGATCATAGAATCTAAAATAAGATACAATAGTATCACACCAAATAAAAGAATAACTTTAAGTACCTTTCGACTGACTCATCTTCAGAGTTTTTAAGAGAAATGTTATCTGCCCATCAGGGGTTAGATAGTAAATTCAATTTATTTACAAGTTTATGATTTTAACTATAGGATTTCTGCAAAACTCTGATTCCGGAAGATAAATTCAAACATTTTATTTACTAATCAATGTGCTTCTTCTTAATATTGAACTC